AATGTTATATTAGGGCTTTTTGTTATCTGCTTCTGCTCTGATTGAGCCTACCAACTACTAACTTATAGTTGCTTCTTCCAGGTACCAGTTATCTTCGCCATTTCAAGTCAGGTGTGCAAAGCTGAACAGATGCTTAACATTACCTAACATTGCTTTACCTTGCAGCAGAGACATCTGGTCTGCTTGGGCACCATCTAACCTGTTTCTCTGCAAGTGTAGGGTTCATACACCCAACACACTAAGCATGAGGAGATCTTCATTAATGGAAATAGGCAGCACCTATATATGTATGTCCTTGTGCAAAATTGGTCTCTACCAGGATAGAGCAGTCCAGCCTCTTTAAACAATCTTTCTGCAAATGTCCAATCCATTAACAAATTAATTTCTGAACTTCAGGCCCAATTACTGATAGTGCACATACAGTGTTCGCAGTAGAATATAGAAATGAGCAGTTTCCTCTCCTAGATGAAACCCTGACTGATGTGAAAAATTCATGCTATGGCCTTCTGATAGAATGTCTCAAATCACATTTGTTGATGGCTAACACTGCTGTTCTCATCTTGTTGCTGTTTTAAGAATTTCACCTAAAATGATATTCACAGAGAGAAAAAGTGACCAAAAAAGAATTGCATTTAGCCTAGACAGCTCAGTCTGAAAATGTATCATGGCTGTGAAAAGCGTCAATTAAAAATGACCCCACCTTACTCAAGAGACCTGTACAATATGTGGATTAAGACGAGGCATGCTAACTTCTGTGGCACTAACAAGTTCTTACTTTCCATTGCCTCATGATAGACAGCACTGTGCCAGCACAGCAAATAAGAATAATCAGAAATAAGCTCACAAGAAGCTCGTCTTTTAATTTTTTCATTACTAGGGATCACACAAAAGGCAGAAGGAAGCAGACTTCTGAAGATATGGAGGGAAAGAGTATTGTAGGGATAAAACAAATAGCAATTAACTAAGAAAATGAGTCCCCTTGATCAGGACTCACTAAGACAAAGTAACAGCAGACTGTGGTACTAGGTCTAAGGCAAAGAGAAAGAGCTATTCCTTGATTGTCTCTTGCAGGTCAGGTATATGAGTGCCTTTAACAAACTGGGAATACTGAAGGTGTTTGGTGGTGCCTCTGAGCAGAAAGCAGTGCAGCCAGGGCTAAAGATAGAAATGTCCTGTGGGGTACCAACATGGAAAAAGCAAACTTCAGGACCAAGCACCAGCAGGAAATTGATGTTTATAATATTTAAGTCATCTCTAAAGGGAATATTGTGATGGTGTGTTGTGTGAAGAGCAGAATCAGGCCAATGCTTGCTTATGTGTGTTTTAAGTAATATGACATGACAGACAACATCAGATCAATGGTGCTGATTAATGAACAGCTCTAGAAAGGTAACTAACAAGAGATGAAAGGGTAAAGACACAAATATCAGGAGGGAGAAGAAGGAGGATCATTGCCTCAGAATATGGAGTTATGGTCCAGGAGGCCATTAATCATCAGCATTATTATGTAAAGTGCCACATTTTTTCCTGACTTAATGCCCACTGCAATTCCACTGATGCCAGTATAGAATTGACCTAAAGTGTACGTCTTAAATCACAATCTGTAGTACATCGCTGCTATCATAAAATGGACCCTCCCTAATAAAAACCAGTAATACAATTAAGGCTTCTTATACCTTCCAAATTACCAGATGAAGCTTGGGAAGAGAAAGAAGGAATAAAAGTAAGCATATATAAAATGCCCAAGTTACTATCATTAGTGGAAATATTTAAGTAATAAGAGTCTGCATTTCTGGAATGCATTCATGAAGAAAACTTATCCTCCAAAATCTTAATTAAGCACACAGTACCTCATGGAGCAGACATGGAATGCTTTCCTTTTCTGGATAAAGGAGCCCATGTAGAGGTTAGAAGTTACTTAACCCAATGTCATGCATCCCATTCCCCTGTTGTCCTGCTTGTCTGTCTTTTTTGCCAGTCTTCTCATGGTCAAAAATCCTTTTCCTCCATTTTTTCTCAAGATAGAGTAATACTTTTAGGAAAATTTTGGGGTGTTTCTTTCTCTGTTGCACTCCTCATGTCTTCTGAAGCACCATTAGCTTTGTTGATTTTATATACTTAAAATGTACCTATCAACTGCTGATGATCTCGGTGCTTTATGCTCGTCACACTGGAGGAAAAGATATATCTATCTTCTCAGGCCATAGCAAAAATGATGGAGAAAACTTAAGATATTTTAAGTGTTGCCTTTCACAGAGATTTTAGTGCCCAGATTTTGTAGAGGACTTTGAACAGCCCATCTCTAACAACTTGTCTGCCTGACCCTTGATGTGAAGGCAGATTGAGTGCTAGGCAGTGCTACAAGAGAGAGCCACTTGGATTGGGATCCTGGAGATTGGAAGAGCAATAATGACATAAAAAGAGAGGTGGCAAAATATGCAGGATTAGTACATGCAGTTCTTAGGCATCTCTTGTGTGAAATTAGGAGTGAAGTGAGGAGAAGTAAAGACTAAAGACCTGATCTTGTGATTTTTCTGCTTCTAGTACAAGTTAAAAATTCATGTTAACTGAAGTACTGGGCAGTCTTTAAGGCACATGGGATTTATGCCTTCAAAAGATGAGCAACAGACAGATAAAAGACAGACTGATATGTGCAAAGTGGATATAAGAAGTAAGGTCAGCATTCACAGACTAGGTGGGTATATACAGGAAAGTGGGAAGGAGAGCTTGAAAGTAAGCCATGCTGAGTGTTAGCGAGGACTTAAATCCACAGAATCTTCAGGCATTGTTGCACCTTTGAAATTCAACCCTTGGCAATGGTCAAAGGTGTTACTCTTTTATGTGATTTTTTTTGAGCTAACCTGGTGCTGGCATATAGTATATCTCCCAAGCCCTGGTGAAACTTAGAGGTTCAGGCTAAGTTGAAGATTTTTGTGTGTGTGTGCTTGAATTCGCTCAATTTGCAATTCAAAGCAGACTCCAAGAGGAGAGAACCTACAGAAACTGGAATGAAATAAAATGTTTGCTTGAGCCCCTGTGAAGTACAGCTGCCGGATTTCACGTAGCCTTTTGAAATCAGTATGTAGCATATATCCCAGTCTCTGATAAACGTCATCATTACAAAATGTATAAATTGAACATAAAACTGAATGTATATTTTGTCAAGTACTTTATTACAGTATCATCTAAAATCCTTCATTGTGTCTGCTGGCACTCATTCCAGTGTTCCCGCTGCACAAACAGTGGGGTTTTTTTATTGTGTTGCATTTACAGACATAAATTCCAACTTGCACAGTGACATTAACTACCTGTGAAATAACAATTACATCTCTTATCATTTTTCGTTCACCTTCTTGATTTCTTTGATAAAGCAAATATTTGCTTTTCTTGTCTGATCAGACAAGGCAGAATCATTTATTCATGGAAATAGCACCATTGGCTTCACTGTGGGTAGGACTGAATATGCTGATGTCCCAGGAGTTCTTTGCATAGGTGAAGTGAGCAGGATTTAATTCTATCCCTGGATGTTAACTTCAGACGTACTTCCAACATCCACAGTGAGCCACCCAAAGATCATAAGAAGCTAGCAGAGGAGGAGTTATGTTAGTCTAGAAAGGGATTCAAGTCCCCCAAAAATGTAAATACTTCCAAAAACTTAGGTCTGGGTGGTGAAATCACCCTCTAATAAATATTGCAGCTGAGGTTTTTCTTTGGATCCCTTTCTGTATTAGTCTACTGAGTCCAACTCCCTCTTTAGCTCAGGAGATTTCAGGCATAAAACTGTTGCTGGGCTGAATCTTTCCTGAAAGGCTGACTAGAAGTGATTTCTCTAGTCTCTCACCACAGTAGACCTAGAGGTTCGTGGGAGTAAGTGGGGCCCCTGCTTTGATATGGGCAATTGTTTTTGTGATGTAGAGACAGCAAAGGAAGAGAAAGAGGATTTTTCTTTCCTTTTCCTGCCTTTCAGTCCCGAGGAAGTGTTTGTTGCTGCTCTGAACAGGACTAGCCTTGTTCTGACGAGATGCACTTTAATGCCAAGTTTGTGCTAGCTCACCGTCACTGCTCCATACTCATGCCATTAGAGTGAGCAACTTCCCAGAATGAATTCTACTGATAGTACTTTGCTGGCTAATCTTCCTTCTCTCTTCACTTCACCAGAATACGTTGGATGGGCAGAGTGGGCTAACTGGGAACTGACTGTTGTGGTTTGCAGCCAGGGCTGGAGGGATTGAAGCAGGAAGAATTTGGCGCTACCAGGCTGCTGCCAGCTGTACTGACAGCAGAGAATGCCAGTTAGCATTGCAGCAAGTTTTCATGCTCTTCGTAAATAATTATTATTTCCCCCTTGTTGCCCAAAACAGCAATAAAGAAACCTCTCAACACATAATTTTAAGTGTTAAGAAGCAGACAGTTCCTTTATTTCAGTGCTGGGGTCACGGGGGGATCGCTCCTCCGATCGTGTCCTCTGAGCTCAGCATGAGGCATATATTTATGTACAGCTTAAACATACATATTTATTCTTTTTCCTGGAAAACCTAGATGTAGTAAAAGATTTCCCCAACCTCATTACCATAGTCCTTCCCCTTGTGACAAGTGTCTTCTGGTGGTCTCCAAGGGTCTCCTGCTGTTCACTGGTTCTGTTCACCTTGCCAGAAGTCACAAGTTGCTCATTCCTTAAGAATAACCTGGTTTGAACTGTTTTTTTCGATATGTTTGGTTGCCCTTACTTGTAGTTTTCACACTTCTCAGGATTTTCAGTTCCTGTTATCTTGACTTGCTATTGTTTGTCTGCAGCTGCAGTTAGTTACATATAAGCTAAAACTAAGCATATAGCTAATGGTTCATAACACCCTGACCTTTCCTTTTGGTTCTTTTTGGTACAGACACAGCCTTTCTCTGTTCCCTGCCCCAATGAACGTCTGCACTAGGTCCAAGGCTTGGAGTAATTTACCTGAAGAGTGATACCATTTGGAAACCACTGTAAGTATATTTTATCTCTTGTAAAAGACTTCTTGTTTCAAGCAAAAAAAAAGACAACTTTAAAAAACAAAAATGAACTGCAGCACCTGTGAGCATTACTCATGAGGCTAAGCTAAGTTTTGCTTTTGAAATTTACAAGGAAATATGTGGGCAAAAAATATGTCAATAAAAAACTGTTAAATATTTAAGTCAGCCTCACAGCATAGTTCAGCAATGGCTGATTTGATCTGCTTGTATCTTTTAGGTTGGCAGGTTCTCCCTGCTTACTGCTCTTTGTGCTTTTCTAGTTGGTTCATCCATATTTGTCTTCAGAATGTTTTATCTTCTTTTTTATTCTTATTCCTTTTTAATGAGACACTTTTCCTCTTGTTGGTGCTTCATGTAATACAGATTGGCTTTATTGCAGCTCCTTGAAGGAGCTGTTTCTTTCCAGGCCTTGAGTCATTTATGATTTAAGTCCATTACAATTTGGTAGATTTGGCTGGATTGCATAGGTAAAGTTGCCTGAGAGAATTTTGACTTTGTGTTGTGCTTTATTATTCTCTGAAATGATCAACTGTGTGCTATTTGCACTTTTCCCCTGTAGATCTCAGAGTTTTGATTTCGTATGATCAATTCTCAGTGCTTGCCAGTACTGTCACAGTGTTGCTGTAGTCAAGATGCTCTGAGGTTGTAAGTCGGGCAAGTTTTGTAGTGGGGCTTAACTTTCATGGACTTGTGGTTTAGATGGAAAAAAATGGACAAATTTGGGGGCACATAAACCCCACTTCAGGCTTGAAACAGACAGCAAATTTAAATCTTAGTTTAACTTAATCTCTGAGTTTAATTTAATTGTGTTAATCAGTCTCCTGTAAGGGATTTTTGAGTTTATTTTACTTTTCTGTGTTGATTAAATTTCCCAGGCTTTTATTGCACTAGAACATCGGGCCTCTCTTGTCAGTTCTCTGTGCCTCCCATTCTTGCTGTGCCGCGTTCTGCTGGGATTTCTCTTTCATATTACATTTTATGGTGATGTTTTCAGGAGTTTGTGTTTTCCATTGTATGACACAAACTTGCAATCAGAGATTTTAAACAAACTGCCAGTCATGTGGCTGTAACAGCATGAAGATCAATGTGGTTGCAAAATCATCAGAGAAGCTGTGTGAATATTCAGGAAGTCAGCCTGTGCAGGACTTCTAACTACTGAAGCAACACTTCTGACAGGAAAACTGTGATGGCTCAGGTGGTTTAAAGCAAGCTTGTCTTGGGAAGCTTCACCCTCAGCTCTGGTATTCATGGTACCCTGAATTTTGAGGTGAGGTCTCTGGGCAGATTTCACTGCTTTTTACTGTTCTTTGGGGCTTTTTCTTTTATATATATATATATATAAAAATATATATATATAAATATTCAGTGATTATACTATCTCTCTCTTTCACTTTGTCAGTTTTTAAATATGTATTGTCAATGTCATGTCTGGAAGAGACACAACACTGGCAGTGATAAGCACTGATATCAGGAGCTGTGTTAGTCGCACACAGGCAGAGGAAGGATGTGCAGCAGAACACTCGGGAAAAGTACCACTTACAATCGAACATGAATTATTTCTACACTCTTATGTTTTTAGGATCTGAAAAAAAAGCAGAGGTCTGTTTTGTTTTTAATTATGTACAGTCTCTATGAATTACTAGGGTTACAGATGATCTGTACACCACTGAGTTAAGTGCAGTGCTTGGGCACTACAGGCATCTCTGACCTGAGGGCATTTACTAAAAGGTGATGCCATATCTGTGAAGAGGGGAAATAATGCCTGGAACATGGGTGGGCAGAATCAGCCAGCAGCAGCACTTGTAACAACATCAGCAGCCCTGTGGCATGTTCCCTCCGTGCTGTTTAATATGCAGTGAACAAAGGTCTGGTTGGTGACCCAGCCCTCCCTGTATTCAGAGGCTGAAAACTGCCTCATTATTGTTCATTATGTACTATTATTCTCATACAGTCACATTATCATAGCTTCCCCTGAGAGCCAGGATGCTACTGTGGGTTCTGCGCAGCTATGCTGGTTCCTATACCTGAGCTAATTTGTTCATTGCTAACCTGGTGTCTCTGCAGGACAGAGAGCTGTTCCCTGTGTAAGGAAAGGTTCAAGCATCAGTTATAGCTGCTGTGTGAGAAATACACTGCCTGTTTTTGACAGAGACCTGGTTTGGCAGCCCCGCTGTAAGAACATCAAGGGGAAATGCATTCCAAACCCAAGTAATGGTTGCGAGAGAGATACACGCAAAGAAATCGTGTGGAGATCAAGTGGAGATAAGGATGTATGCAAGAATGGAAGCAAGAAGGGGTAAATGTAGCAGGGCATTCCAAAGCGCAGAGGTAGTAATTAGTTTCTAGTTAGCTTTGAGGTTAGGACATCCACCATTTTATCTGTTCTGCCTTCAAAGTAAACAGGAAGGAGCCAGTTCTGTTTTGCAGCCAGTGCCCAGATCATGGCAGTCACTGCAGCATTTCAGGTTGTCTACCATTTGAGACCTTGTTGTATAATTGTGTAGTGTTAAGGAACATGGAAATGAGGGAATGCCTCAATGCAATAAAATATTGACAGAAAACAGGAATAAAAAGATGCCAGTGATGGTACGTCTTTCTTTACACATGAGCTGGAAAGTGCTGATAGGCACAGTTCAGTTCAGGGATGACAGTGAATGCAGTTAGCGTGAGCATACAACTGAGAAAGAAGAGAAAATATTTTAAGTGGTGTAAATGAGCATAATGGAAAATAAAACCCTGCAATAAATAGACGGGAATCCTGGAAGTGAATACCAACCAAAGAGAAGTACCTGCACCTAGGATTCAAAATGTAAAGAGAGAAGATAGACTGTTTAGAAATGGACTGGATAAATCAGTAGCAAACATGAATTCTGCAGGTGTTCTGCAAGACTCAAATTAGCTTAGAAAAGTCAGCATCTTTTCTGTCCCCAACTTCTGGGAGTCTGTGCATCACGTCTATATACAGAAGTGCCATCTCTTTGCTATATTGGCCTTCTGCTGTCCTTCTTGAGAAACAAAGATGATGATGGCCCTCTGATAATTTTAAGAATGCAGTTTTTGAAAGGACCTGTAATGCACCAGAGATGTGTGCAGGGAAGGAGCTTAGAGGTAACTGGAGATCAGAATGGAGCCTCTTGCTCCAAGGGCATATGCCCGAGTCTTTTGCAAATTAAGTTGCAATTTCTGTTGCCCTTACTAACAACTAAATAGCAAACTACTTCTTTCCAGGATTAGTCCATCCAGAACATAAGGACATGAACTAAAGTAGCAAGGTAGACAGACCCTTACTACTGAAATAATCACACAGGGCTGCCAATCACTGAAGTCCAGGGATGGTACATAAACAGGTATAGTTTGGGAAGGTTCCACAAAAAATATTTATTAGTTGTTTCGTTCTCACTCCTACCCCTGTGCTTTCAGGCTCTTTGATGCAGCTATGACAGATCATACTTTTCCACAGGTAGCATGCCATTTTACTTTCTGTAACATGGAGATATACTAGAGAGCTTGCTGATGGAAGTGTTCATAGAAGAAGTGTGCAATCAGAAAAAAAATAGGTTGGAAGGGTCCTCTGGAGATCTCTAGTCCAATTCCCTACTCAGAGCAGGGCTGACTTCCAAGTTGGATTAGGTTACTAAGGGCCTTGTTCAATTAAGTTTTGAAAATCTCCAAGGATGGAGATGCCACAACCTGATCAGCGTTTAACAGCTCTGCCTGTGAAGACTTTAGCAATAAGATAGCAATAGAAGTGGACTATGTAAGTGAATGTAGAATATTTAATTAGAATATATAGGTGAAGATCATAGCAATAGGAGCTTTCTATGTGGGCCATAAGTTAGAATAAAAGGATAGCAATATACTCACAGCAACAGCAGGATTTTTCCAGCTTTGCCTGTTGTCCTCTGCTGGCAGCAGCAGTTGGATATTGCAGACTGGAGAAGAACTTTGTGTTTCTTTGTAGATAGTTTTGATTACAGTGTCTGCAGGATTTTTCTTTTCTGAAAAGCTTTCTTCAGATCCTTAGCTGACTTGGCTGCTTCCCTTACTCAGCCTTCCTCATGTGGAAGCCTGCATTCTTCTAAGGTGGTACTGAGGTGCAGGCCATGTGTGAACAGTGTAAGAGAAATGAACTGCTGTGGAGAGGTATCGCCTCTAGTGCCAGTCAACACCATTGCTTCTCTTTCCATGCTATTGAGCACAAGTCACCAAACTGCAGGGCTCTGATGAAGAAAAGTGATGACACAAGAGCATCTTGATAACATAGTGTCAGCCTTAAAAGCAAAGTATAAAACAAACAGGTTTGGAAGGGAAGAAGCAGGGAGTGCTGTGCAAAGCTTCATTGGTGTCACTGCCTGTTGCTGAAGTATTCTTTAACCTGTCCCTCTAATGAGTTTCAGAGGCCTGGAAGGCCCATGCAGATCAGCCACATGATGAAGCATCTGTCAGTGCTTGGTCTAACTTCCTCAGGCTGAGCTCCTAGCCTGCAAATAGCAACAGCATCCTGCCCAGAGGAGGTGACTTTGTGTGTGGATAGAGCTGGAGTCAGAAGCTGTATTCTGAGCGTGTAACTTGGGTTAACCCTGAGCTGAAAACAGACCTTCAGTACAGCAATTCGGCTTCCAGGCTTCTGTGTATCTAGAGTCTAACCCTACATACATCCTTGGCTGCCTGCATAAAAAGCAATGCTATCTGAAAGCTTCTTTGGCAGCAATGCCGTGAAATAACAACTGTTCTATACACATATTCCCTGCAGCCCCTGGTGTGTGCTGGCTGCACATGGGAAAGTCATGGGATCTGGAAACAAGGTGTGTTAGAGTTCATACATCAAGGATCAACACAGACTGTTATGAACAAAACATGCAGTCCATGCACTTTAAAGTGTATGTGTCCATGTAAGAGTTCTGCGTCTCATGCATCCTTAACCAAGTAGCACGAGATGGATCCCAGTGACAGAACGGGGAACAGACAGAAGGATGCCCAAGCTTGGAGTGACAAGATGTGTGGTTTAGTATTGAGGAAAAAAAAAAAAAGTTTTTAAATGGTTTGATTTTCCTTCCATTTAAAATGGAGCAAATCAGTTCATCCCTTTGCTCTACCTCTGCAACTTTAAGTAATGTCCGTTTGGTCATCTGCTGTTGGTTTGGATCAGATTAGGTAGCCTGGTATATTTTGAGTATATTGATTATATACATGGAGGATAGAGCAGCAGTACCACCTGCCTGTCCTGTGGCATGGGGGTGTTGAGCCCATGTAATTCAAGACACACTGATGTGCATGCAGCTGCCAGCAGCTGCAGGGTTATGAGCATGACCCTCTGATGGCGGTGGTTCACCTGCAGAGCTCAGCACCCTGTCAGGAGGTAGAGGAGAAGATTTGCTTTATTTCTTTTTTTGGCCCGTTTAACTTAATTTTGTATTATAATTACAGGTTTTCCTCCCTTCTCTCCCGGAGCTTTCAGGCTCCTGTCGAGGAGGCACCTCGCTGGGGCGGGGTGTGGGGGGTGCCGGGCCGGACGAGGCCAGGCCCCGGCCGGCTGCTGCCCCCCGACGGCGGCCGCCGGGAAATGGCGTCGGGTCTCGGCCCTGCCGCCCTTATGTAATGCCTTTATGTAACCGGCCGGGGCTCTGCTTCTCCTTGTCCCCTCCCCGACGCCCCGCGGGAATAGGTCTTTCCTTGCTGTAAACTCGAGTTGTTTAAAAACTCATGTTTTTAACATGTCAGCTGCATGCCGGCCTAGGTGGACAAGGGAGAGTAGGGCTTGTGAGAGAAGGGGCTCCCGCCTCAGCCCCTCAGGAGAGTCTGTCCCTGTCAAGAGAGGCTTTGCCTGCAGATGGGAATCCAGGAAGGGCTGGTTGGGCACAGAGCGGGGCTGCCTGTGGTCCAATGGCACCTCCATGCTCAGGGATGCTACCCCAAAACCGTGTTCTCCAGATGGTGCAAGGTGCCACCCTGTGTAGGGCCTGCTCCCAGGGTGACCTGCCACTGCTTGTGCCTCAGGTGCCAGCAGGAGATAATGGCGCTTAATTTCATAGAGTCATAGCATCATAGAATCAACCAGGCTGGAACAGACCTTTAACATCATGAAGTCCTTTACCCCAGGACTGCCAAGTCCACCACTAAGCCATGACTAAGGGCTTTTGTACACAGGTTTTAAACACTTCCAGGGATGGTGACTCCACCACTTCCCTGGGCAGCCTGTTCCAATGCCTGACTATCCTTTTGGTGAAGAATTTTTTCCTAATACCCAGCCTAAACCTCCACTGGCACAGTCTGAGGCTGCTTCCCCTTATCCCATTTGGATGTTTACCCAGGTGCCATGGCCTTGTACTGGATCAGGGCAGTGGTTTTCCCAGCTGGAACATGAGGCCCGAGCTGGCTAGGAGGCTACCTGCCTTGGGGAGCAGAAGAGGAAGCATCTTCACCTGTAAAACTGAGGAGAAACAGTGAGATGTGGGTGCTTCTCTCCCCTACAGAGTGCTTGCCACTTCCCTTTCTGCCTCAGTTTCACCACTTGTGAAACAAAGGTGGTGATTAACTCCATGCCTGATATTCCTCTGGTGCTTGGAGGTTCTGGATGGAGTGAGGCATTGAGAGCTCGCATGCACTGTGTTCATAGCATGTTGTTTCAGGCTCCAAATCTTAATGCTTTACTTTGATGACCTCTGCATCTCAGAATTGCTTCAGTGGTTTTCACTACAAAATGAGTCTCTGCACTGATTTGTTTTGAACTGGAAACTTGCATATTTGTTTGCTTTTCAGGCATTTCTGTTACATTTCTGTATAACTTTCTCTATTCAGAATGCTACAGCCTTAGTTATTATTTGTCAAATGGAGCTCTGACTGTCTAAACCACTGGGATGAGTTTCATTTTATATGTCATCAGTAGGGGCAGAATGAGGAGCTTCATGCTTGGCCTATTTGCTGTAACACAGTCTCAGGGCCATTGCATCAGAGTCAAAACAAGGAGCAGCTTGTTTCCAAACAAGAAGCATGGAGGAAAGTCTTCTCTGCCTCCTTCCCTGTAAGGAAAAAGAGAGGAGAGAGGGAGGTAGTGGGGGGGGAAAGAAAGTTATCTTTAACAGATTCTAAAAATGCCTTTTCCCAAATATGCAGTCAATGCCTTCAAAGGTCCCTTTGTTTATTTTCAGGAAGAAACCCAAGACAGCTGAAAACCAGAAGGCGTCTGAGGAGAATGAGATTACTCAGACGGGTGCATGCAGCGCCAAGCCGGGCCTTCCCTGCCTGAACCTTGAAGCTGTTCTGTCTCTGAGCCCGGCCCTCATCACTCACCACATTCAACAACAAACCTGCACGCACACACAGGGTCATCTGATTGTGAGTACACCAACGTGCTGCTGGGTTGCACTGGGGTTCGTGAAAGCACACTGCTTACTGCAGAACAGGTTTTCCAGTTGGATACTCATTCCATAATGGCATGAGCAGGACTTCCTCAGGGCTTACCTTTTGCCTTCTTTGGGAATTACCACTGAAACATAGCAGTTTGAGTTAAGGTTGTGATAATGCAGTCAGCCAGAGGAAGCTGACAGCTTGTTGTTGGGTCAGTTTGCTGCTTCTTAAAAATTAAAAAGGGGAGACCCCTTAAACATGTCTCTTTCCATCTAGAGCTATAGTTATTGCTCTCCAGGTCATGGTTCTTATTACCCAAGTATATCTGCTGACTGCGGATTTTCAGCCTGGGCTGTATTGCAATGGGAAAAAACAAGTGTCTGCCTCTGATACCCAGGATTGTAAAGGATTTCCATGAAGAAAGGGGGGAGTGTTTTGTGGAGAGGACCAGTCTGAGAGTCTGGAAAATCTCTGTAGACCTGTGTGGTTGTACCAGTTTAAGGCCCTTGTTTTGAGTGTGTTCACATTCAGATTACTCAGCATGGGTTAACTGGCCTTTTAAAAATGTTCTTTTCCATTTGGCAAAACATACAAAAATAAGGGAGGGAATGATTAAACCAGGATTTTGGAAGGTCAGAACTTACACTGTCAGCTTTTCAAAACACTCATTTCACAGTGGTCCCTGCCTGGAAGTCTGTTGGGCAGGAATGTGCAGCGTGATATGAACCTCAACACTCACTAGTTTTAGAATAGATGGTTTACCTCTTCTGCAGTAGATTTAGGATGTTGTAAAATTTACGAGGGGAAAAAAAGCAGAAAGAAAGATGATGACACCAGGTTTCAAGAGCTCAGAAGCCAACAAGACTTTCAAAGACCTATAAAAAAAATCAGGGCATAACAATAAAAAATCAGATTATAAAGGATGTATATCCTTTTCTTTTTTAATTTAAAAATTCTGCCTCAGGGCCGAGCTTGGAAGCAGCCGGGTTATAGGGATCATCACTATCAAAATCACTTTAGCTGCAATTCATTCCTGTTGGCTTCTGACTTTATTCATTATGAGCTTCTTCTAGAGATCTTGATTTTAATAGAGCTGGTAAACATTGGGGAGACTTTCCTAAATCTCACCTGGTGATTTGGGGAGAAGAAAGAGATGTGAAACAATTGAGCAGCAGGCAGCATGCAATTTAGTATATACAAGAATTCTCTTCAAATTGGAGATGTCAAGCTCTTTGTTAAAACCGTGGTTCAGTTTTGTCTTGTAATGTTTTCTGAAAACAAAAAGCTTGTGAAAAGATGCAAAAAATGAGCAGAACAACAAGAAAAAATAATCCTTAATTTCAGACAAAGGATCTCTTTATCCCATTCACAAAGATGAAAGAGTTCATTAGTAAATGGGATTTGAAACCTCACACTGATGTTTTTTGACAGTACAAATGGAAACCCATGAAAGCAACCTTAGGACAGAGGCCAGCAGGGATTGTAGGGAACTTGGAGAATGAACTCCTGCTTTTGCTTTTTGAGGTGGCCAAGTTCAAGGGTGAGGAATATTGGCAGAGGGCAGTAGGAGGGAAGTAGAGCCTCCAGCTCTTTATGCTCTACCTGTTCTGTGGAACAACAGTCTTTTAGACCCCAAAGTTTTTGATATTACTGAATCACCTTTCATTCCTACTAAATTCACAGTACCAATATGAATAAACTGCAAACCCAGGTTAGATGCTCCTTTCACAGTGAAATTGGTGGAGTTTTTTTCAGAAAAAAATGTTTAATAATAATTTCAGCATTAATATTATGCTATCCCAGGAATTGTTGAAATTTAGTTCCCAAAATACAGCTAGAGTCCTGCAAGAATTTAAGAAATGGTAAGACCTTTTCTCTTCTCAAGATTGACTCTTGTGGTGTTGATCTCTGTTAGTTGATTCCATGTGCTTTGAAACTGATGAAAAAAACCCCTTTATTTATGATGGGTCATAAGCTTTATCAGGCTGTATTAGTTCGGGGCAGTATGCATATAATTAGTGTTTGGAATGCCCTTGCGAAATAGCAATGCCAGTTTCTTACATGAACTAAAAATTGATTCATGATGAATATTTACTGCATATTTACTGTAGCTATCTCCTGTGTTATGTGGGGTTTATTTAGTATTACCTCAGTCATTAGTGCTGGAATACCTTCACTGACCCAAAAGATTAGTATTTGTGGCTCCCAACATTTGAAAATGGGCTTCCCCATCATTACAAACTCCTTCTCCTTACCTCTTGCCTTCCCTGCCTTTTTGACTCACATTTTCCCCTCACCTTAGAATTCCTCCGTTTGTCTTTCTCCTCCTCTCCTGTCAGAGCTACATTGCCACATCTTCTTTCCTCTCAACTTTTGAACCTGTGATGATCCTTTACCTTTTTAGGTCCTTCCCTTTACCTTCTAGACACTACAACATTGCTTCTCCTCCTTTGCCCAGACCACCATACTGCCTCTACCCCCACAGCTGGGCAGGTTATATTTCATTTACAAGAGGACATTCTTCATTCTGGTGGGAAGTTTTCTAGTGGATAGTGAATCATTTAAAAATACTTAAAAACTAGGATTAGATGGGAAGTTTTAGGAGAAGAGTTTTCATGGAAAATATTAGGAACACCCGAAAGAGTCAGCATGGTAGGCTGTATCAATTCTTGGAAAAATGCACTGATGTACAGATGGTTCCATAAGCCCTCATTCATGTATCTGGAAAAATGACTTAGGGTTTACAGCCCACCTATTCAAATCAGTTTAAAATCTTTACTGACCATTTTGCATGCACAGTCACTACCGCTTGGCAGAGAACAGTACCACATATTATGAGAAATATTCAGAAGCCAGTCTACTTTAAAAAGTCAGGGTGCTTTTGGAATGATTAAGATCAAAATTCTTTTTCCAAGCATAGGAAATAAAAACTCTCTGATAGCCATCTGCTCCTCAGCTGTAAAAGGCAGAGGTGAAGAAAGCTGAAGCAATAGTCTGAATGCCAGTCTTACTGAAACAAGTACTTAGCAAAAAAATCTGGGTAAAGTCATATGTGTCACACAAATTAGAGCTTAATTATATAATTCTTAATTCTGTAATTCTGTAATTCTTAATTCTACATACTGGCTTTGGTGCCACTTAGTCCCAGTGAAATGACATTACTTCTGACCTTTGTAGGACTGGGCCCTAGATTTCTGGATTTGAACATTATGGTATATTTCCTTGGGTGACATGGTCTAGTGTGAGGTGTCCCTACCCATGGAAAGGGGAGTTGGAACTAGGTGATCTTAAGGTCCTTTCCAACCCTAACCATTCTATGATTCTATGATCTTATGATTTCCAATACAGATGAATCCTTGAAGCAAAATCCAAAACCTAGGGTCCATTGTGTCCAGTTCCCATCTCTTTCAGTGTTGGGAAATGCTAGCTCATGCAATGCAATTGGAGAAACAAGTTAAAGGAAGAAGTCTTCTTGAGGTAACTGTTTTCATGTAGGGCTTGGCAGACAAAAAGCACCGCTTAGAATTAATTTGGAATTAAGTCATAGAGTGCGCTGATAGAGCTCCAAATGAGTTATACCTCTAGCTACTCAGCTGTCATAAACAGATGTAGCTGCTTACCCAGAAGAAGGGTGTTTGTGGGAAAATCTACAAGGACAAGCTTGGAGGCACAAGTTCTGGAAAGGTTACAGTGAAGCAAAGGAAAGCATATGAGATTGGTGCTATTTGCAGTTTTCCACATACTTTCTTGCTTATGGATAGAGAATGTATATAGTTGGTGGAGTCCTACTTTGAGGGCTGAACTGCCTTAGGTAAAGCTTCTAAAGATTTTGCTGAGAGGAAAGGGAAGGAAGTCATCAGGACTTGGCTTTATTTAAATTGATTTGGTCTGTATAGGCCACTCACTTCAGGAGCCCTTCATAAAGCATCTGTAACTATATACATTTTGCAAGTGCCAAGAGATAAGATCATTTTGGCAGAAACTTTCACCAGTTCTCAGAGATACAGTCAGACAAAAACTTAATTCAGGCTCTGATGTATGCATCTTAACAGATGTGTCCAAACTCAAAGGAATCCCATGGGAACAGTACAACTGAATTTTTTTGTCTCTATTGATAGTTGAAAGAGTTATTCTTAGACATTGGATGGTCCATCTGTGAAGGAATTTGTTCCAGACAAGGGAAAAGCAACATCTTTGTGAAGAGTTTCCATGGGACTGAGAGGCAGGTTGGACTATCATTGTGAAAACCGCTGAAGCAATTTCGATGATTTTAGAGTACACAATTCTGGTAAAGACCTGAGATTCTGGTAGGGAATAAAAGCTGAGAAGGAAAGTGGGTCATGGATAATTTCTGAAAAATCCATGAAATAATCATTGGCAAGATGTTGAGATGGGGGAGGACTTTCTAAAGTTAAGTTTTAGCAAGAGACCAGGGAGTTTTTATGTATTAAATAGAATGCACTTTATGAACACTGTTGGCGATGGGCCACATGTGAAGACTTTGTCCATACATGCTCAAGTGACATGGCTGATGTGGGCCAATTTCAGCATTTTTTAGCTTTAACAGGATGGGAACTTTGAGGCAGTGTGTTTTCTTTTTCTCCTCCTACGTTCTGATTTTTGTAGCTCGCTAGGTTTCCAGCATAATGGGGAAAGGCAGAGAGGGAACTTCACAAGATTCCTGAACCCCACAGAGCATTGAAAGTGGATGTGGAAACTCCAGGTTTTCATTTTCTTGAGCAGATAGAGGAAACTACCATTCACTTTCCATGAACCAACAAGTTTGATTTACCTGGGGGTGCGGATAGAGGCTAGATGGGTCTGAAGGTGGTTTGGCCTCATCTTTGCACTGTAGGTTTCATGTGTTTCTCTTAGAGGTTCTGTGTCAGGAAGAGAACATGTGCTTATCGTTTTCCCTTTGCCTCTGGACATTTGTGGCTGTGATTCCCTAGGAAGTGCTCTGGTGCTTTCACATGATCTCCACTCTC